GGGGCGCCGATGACGGGCAGCGGGGTCAGCGCGGCGACCATGCCTGGCAAGTGAGCCGCGCCGCCCGCGCCGGCGATGATGACGCGCACGCCGCGCGCGTCCGCCTCGCGCGCAAACTCGTACATGCGCGACGGCGTGCGGTGGGCCGAGACGATGGTAATCTCGTAGGCGACGCCGAACTGCTCGAGCACCTGCGGGCGAGCGACACGTGTGAAGAGACGCCGTCCACAGCCCCGGGTGTGAAGAGACGCCGCCCAAGGCTCTGAGCTCGCAAGGGCACGCCGGCGGGGGCGTGGGAGCGTCGCACCTCCGCGGCGGCCTTCATGCACGGCAGGTCCGAATCGGACCCCATTATAATGCTGACCACCGGAGCCTCGTCGGCGGGGGCCGACGGCGCCACCGCACCCTCCACGCCGTTGGCGGCGTCGGCGATCGCCTCGAGCTTCCGCAAGGCGATCGCGACCTCGTGGCGCGACCCTCCGACGAGGTTGACGTGCGCCATCTTGCGGCGCGGCTTGGGAGGCGCCTTGCCGTACCAGTGCAGAGCAGCGCACGGCATGGCGAGCGCAGCGTCGACGGCGGCGAGGGTGGTGGAGAGCTTGCCGTCGGCGGAGCCGATGACATTGTACATCGCGGCGGCGACAACCTTCATGGAAGTGTCCCCGAGCGGCAAGCCGGCGACGCAGCGCAAATGCATCTCGTGCTGCTCGGTGACGCACGCGTCCATGGTGTAGTGGCCGGAGTTGTGAGGGCGAGGAGCGATCTCGTTGAGCAAGACGGAGCCGTCCTTCATGTGGAACAACTCCACGCCGAAGATGCCGGCGCCCCACAGGGAGCTGATCGCCTTGCGCGCGACGGCGAGCGCCTGCTCACAGCTGGAGGTGTGAAGCGACGCCGTTCACAGGGAGTGGATCGCCTTGCGCGCGACGGCGAGTGCCTGCTCGCTGACGCTGGCGGCCACCGGCGCGGGGGCGACGACGGTGTGGCACATCGAGTCGCGCTGCTCGGTGACGGTGAGTGGGTAGGTGACGACGGTGCCGTCGCGTGCGCGCGCAACCATTACCGCCAGCTCTGAGACGAACTCCGCCCACCGCTCTGCATACAGCGGCACCGCACCGCCGCGGGAGAGTGAGGAAAAGGCAGACTCGGCCTCGGCAGCCGAGCGGACGACGGCGTTGCCGCGGCCGTCGTAGGCCAGGGTCCGCGCCTTGAGCATGAGAGGGTAGCCCCACGTCTCGCCGGCAGCGAGGAGGGCGGCGGCGTCCGGGACGTCGCAGAAGTCGCCTAGTTCATTCCCCAAGCAAGTCGAGAAAGAAATGATGGAGCGGGCGGCCGAGACGTGCCAGGAGTCGCCCAGGCTGACGCCGTCGACGGTGGAGAGGTGCCGCTTCTGCAGCAGCTTGTCCTGGGTCGTGGGGGCAGCGGAGGGTCAGCGCCGGGGTCGAGAAGGCTCTGGTCTCCCTCCTGCAGCCGCTTGTCTTTGGCCTGGATCGTGGCGAGCGTGCGCGGCGACGGGTGCACCGCAACCTTGCCCTCGGCCTCGATGGCGGCAAGGGAGGCGGTGTCGATGTGCTCGATCTCGACGGTGAGCACGTCGACCTCGGCGGCGAGCTTGCGGATCGCCGCGCCGTCCGCCAGCCCACCCGTCACCGCCGCGCCGCACACCTTGCCTGCGGGCGAGAGACACGCGCAGGCGTCGGAGGCGGGCCGAGGCAGGGGCTTGGAGGAGGAAACGCCGTCGCCGCGACGGCGAGGAAGGCGGGGCGGCGATCCGCGGGCCGTGCATGCGCGACGGGCGACAGTGGGCGAGGGCGGGCGGCGAGCACCGGTCGGCGACGCGAGCCCTCCCGGGTCGAGGCAGGTGAGCTTGACGCCGAGGCGGTGGGCGGCGAGCGCCATCATCTGGCCGAGCTGGCCGCCGCCCACCACGCCCACGCGGACGGAGGTGGGCGGGAGAGAGGGCTCAGAGGCGGCAGAGCACATCGTCAACGGTAGGCGGAGGCTGCGGGCGCGACGGAGGCACCGAGAGGAGGGGGACAGATTTCTTTTTGCTAAGAAAACCCGCCGCGCTTTACCTGTTTATTTCTTATTCTTTCCTTCCTTTTATAAATGAACTTCCATCCTTTCCTTACCTTTATATTGTGGCGGCCCGTGCCGTTCTCCCATGCCCCGTGAGGTTGTCTTCCTTTCTCAAGCGTCAAGGCTAGCCCGCACAAGTGATACAACACCGTGAGCTGCGCTCGGGGCCGACTAGAGTGCCCTCCTGGTCACTGCGCCCATACCTCCACCCTCTTGGGCAGCAGCTGGTCCGACAGGTCCTCTCCGTGTCCTAGGCAGCCGCGGCCGCCCTCGCCCCAGGTAAAGACAGCGCCGACGGCGGTGAGAGCGATGCTGTGGTCGTATCCAGCCGAGACAGCAACGACGCGCCCGCCACCCAAGGCCTCCACCTTCTTCGGCAGCACCTGGCCCTGCCGATTGCCGTGGCCCACTGTGCCGTAGTCTCCATCGCCCCAGCTCCAGACACTGCCGTCGGCGGCGAGAGCGAGGCTGTGGCCGGCTCCAGCCGACACAGCGACGACGCGCTGCCCAGCAAAGGCCTCGACCTTCTTGGGCAGCAGCTGGTCCTGCTCGTCGCCGTGGCCCAGCTGGCCAGCGTATCCAAAGCCCCAGCTCCAGACGGCGCCGTCGGCGGTGATGGCGAGGCTGTGGCCGCCTCCAGCCGAGACAGCGACGACGCGCTGCCAAGCAAAGGCCTCGACATTCTTGGGCAGCAGCTGGTTCGACATGTCCTCGCCGTGGCCCAGCTGGCCCCTACCTCCATAGCCCCAGCTCCAGACGGCGCCTTCGGCGGTGACAGCGAGGCAGTGGTAGCATCCCGCCGACACAGTGAGGACGCGCCGCCCAGCAAAGGCCTCGATCTTCTTGGGCAGCAGCTGGCTCTGCGTGTCGCCGTGGCCCAACCGGCCCCAGGATCCAGAGCCCCAGCTCCAGACAGCGCCGTCAGCGGTGAGGGTGAGGCTGTGCGCAGCTCCAGCCGACACAGCGGCGACGCGCTGGCCAGCAAAGGCCTCGATCTTCTTGGGCAGCAGCTGGATCTGCTCGTCGCCGTGGCCCAGCGGGCCGCTCCATCCACGGCCCCAGCTCCAGACAGCTCCGTCAGCGGTGAGGGCAAGGTTGGACCCGGCTGCAGCCGACACGCTCACGGCACGCTCGCCACCCAGCGGCGAAGGGAGGCGGGTCGGCGTGTTGAGCCGCGCCACGCCCTCGCCGTGGCCAAGAATGCCCGGCATCCAGTTGTCAGCCCTTCCGCACGATGAGAGCCGCCCCTCGCCGTCGATGAAGACGCTGTGATAACGGCCTGCCGCCGCCCTCGCCGGCGGGTTCGACTCGCACAGCAACGCAGCGAAGCACAGCCACCGCACGGGGCAGCCCTCGCCCTCAGGCTGCGCCGGCAGCTCGAACCCGCGCTCTTGCGCCCACAAGCGGATGGCCTCCGCCGCGAGCGAGGCGTGGAAGAGCAGCGAGACGGCCGCGACACGAGCGATATCGAGGGGGCTGTCGCAGCGAGCGAGGACGCGCTCGAGGAGGTCCGTGGGGAGGTCGAGGAGGCGGGCGGGCGGCGGCGTGTCTGGCGAGGGGGCGGCGGCGGAGGAGGCGGTGGCCCCGGTGGCGAGGCGGCGCGAGCAGCGGCGCGGCGAGGCAGACATCGCGAGAAAAAGAAGCCGGGAGGCTGACGGCCCATTAAAGAAATGGAAGAATAAGCTAGGAGCCCCCATAAAGAAACGGAAAAATGAACCTGCCGAAGCTCGGAGAAGGTTGCGCGAAAGCACCGACGGCATGCTCTCCTGCAAGCTCGTCCTCTTGCTGGCCGTCTGCGGCGCGCGCGGCTTCCTGCTGCCCGTGGCGCATCGCGCCGCCGTCAGCACGACGGCGTCCCAATATGCCGTTGCTGCTCGCTTGCCGGCCGTGCAGATGGGCCGCGGCGACAAGCGCACAAAAAAAGGGAAGCGAACGGCGCAGACCTTTGGCAATGCCCGGCCCAAGAACGGCAAACTTCGCCGGGAGCGCGACGGCCCGATGGAAAATGTGGCCGCGGTGAAGGCGGCGGCCGCCGCCGCTGCCAAGGCGGAGGAGGAGGCGGCTGCTGCGGCCGCTGCGGTGAAGGCGGAGGCGGAGGCCGCTGCGGCTGCGGCTGCGGAAAAGGCTGAGGAGGAGGCCGCGGCCGCGGCGGCAAAGGCGGAGGAAGAGGCAGCTGCCGCAGCTGCCGCTGCCAAGGCGGAGGAGGCGGCGGCGGCGGCGAAGGCGGCGAAGGCAGAGGAGGAGGAGGCGGCGGCGGCGAAGGCAGAGGAGGAGGCGGCGGCGGCGGCGAAGGCAGAGGAGGAGGCGGCGGCGGCGGCGAAGGCAGAGGAGGAGGCGGCGGCGGCGGCGAAGGCAGAGGAGGAGGCGGCGGCGGCGGCGAAGGCAGAGGAGGAGGCGGCGGCAGCCGAGGCAGAGGAGGCGGCGGCGCCGGCGCTGTCGGCGAGCGACCTCATGGCGCTGATGAAGCAGCTGCGCGCTGAGCTGCCGCGCGCGGACCTGAAGGCGCCGCGAGCCATGAGCCTCGCTGGGCCACTCCTCGGCCGCACCTCGGCCTCACCTCGGCCTCGCCTCGGCCGCACCCGCCTAGAAGGTTCCTAGAAGGTTCCTAGAAGGTTCCTAGACATGCACATGCACACGTCCCATATGCTCGCAGGCGTGCAAGGCGGCGCTCGAGTCAACCGGCGGAGACCTGGCGGCGGCTTCGGCGGCGCTGACGGCAGAGAGAGAAGCAAGGCGAGCGGCGCCGCTGCTCGGAGCTCCCCGCGAACTTTCCGGGAAGTGTCCCGTAGGCGGAGCACGGCGAGGCGTGGGCGGCGGCGGAGGCGGCGGACGCGGCTGAGATACAGGCGAGATGTGGCCGAGAGATGGCCGAGAGATGGCCAAGATATGCGCGAGATGTGGCCGCGATCTACCCGAGATCTACCCGAGATCTGCCCGAGATCTGCCCGAGATCTGCCCGAGATCTGCCCGAGATCTGCCCGAGATCTGCCCGAGATCTAATCCGCGGGCTCCTTCGGTGCGTTGAGATGGGCGAGATTGCGTCGAGATCTGACCCGAGATACGGCCCCGCTCTCTCATCAGGCGGGCACTGTCAAGGCGATGGGCATGCGGGACGCAAAGGCGAACCGGAGTGCGGCGGGGGAGGAGGCGCCGAATCTCGAGCAATCTCGGCGACGCTCGGCGGGTCGGGGGCGTAGGCGCAGAAGAAGTTTGCGGCGGAGGAGGCTGCGTCGGTTGAGGCGGCGGCGGAGGCACCAGAGCCGGAGCCGGCGGTGGCGGAGGAGGTGGCGGTGGCGGAGGAGGAGGAGGCGGAGGAGGCGGTGGCACCGGCCGTCGCTTCTGCGGGGGAGGAGATGGTTGGTGTGGTGAGCAGCAGCCGAGATGCGACGAGATGCGAGGGAGAGAGGGGGAGATGCGGCGAGATGCAGAAGGAGATGCCCCCCCCCCCCCCCCTTTCTTCTCCACACACCACCCATCTCGCCGCGGCTGTTCACCCCCTTCCCCCCCTTCACCTGTGAACAGGTGGCCTCCACCACGGACTTCGTCTGGCCGGCGGCGACCGGAGGCGTGTGGGACAAGGCCATCGTCTGAGCGGCGACACAGGGGGCCTCGGGTGGCGAGGCGGGAGATGCAGAGCCCTCGGCGGTTGGGCATAGACCCTCGAGAGCGGTGTCACAGCTCCTCCCCCGCCGTCAGCGTTTCTCCGCATGGCACTCTGATGCTGTCGCGAGGGGAGGCGAGACTGCCGACGCGTATTTTAGATAGTGTGACAAGGCCGCCCCCGATAAATAAATAAATAAAACGGACACCTCTCTACTGTGAGATGGGTAAAAAGGAACAGGTCCCCGCCCGTGGGGCCGTGCCGCGTGCGATCTTTGTGCACGAGGGTGCCCGAGCCGGAGCCCCGTTTTCTCTCTGGGATGCGCTCCGGTTCCCCCCCCCCCCCCCCGGTAGGCTTCCAATTCTCTCGCTTTTTCAAACCATGCCGATGTCGCCGTCGACGGCTTTTTCAAACCATGCCGATGTCGCCGTCGACGCCGCCCTCGCTCGCCGCAGCGTACCGCCCGTCACACCGCCCTCCTGGCGGGCACCAGGGTTCGTGATTTCACATGGAAACAGCGAATCGGTTTCACTTTCACTTTCACTTCACATTTCATGTGAAACAAAATTTCACTTTTTCGAGCGAGTGTGAAGAGTCGTGTGAACGTGAATGATGACGGATGCTCCCACCGAGTTCCGACCACTCTGACACTCACTTGCACAGGTGTTGGCTCCCAAGCAGCAGCCAAGATGAAGGAGGCTGGAGATATTGGTCTCGCTGAGCTGATGTGTACACTAGACCTATATGAATCTCATGGCATGCTGTGGGCGAATACGGTGCTGATGGTGGGATGAACTCTCTCAGTGCAGTCGAGAGTCGACTCCGACGCATCGGGAGGGCGGCCGCGGCGGTGTAGGGGCGGCGGCGAGCTCCCGGTTGCAAATACTCGCCTTACAGTCCAAGATGGCGGCTCGCGCCCCCATCCGTGCACCGGCGTGCCACTCTAGTCCCGCCTGCCGCCCAGATACCGAGGGCGGGGCGCACTCTTCGACTTGGGCTATTATTGCGGGGCGCACTCTTCGACTTGGGCTATTATTTGCCACCGGGAGGGCGGCGGCGGCGGTGTAGGGGCGGCGGCGAGCTCCCGGTTGCAAATACTCGCCTCACAGTCCAAGATGGCGGCTCGCGCCCCCATCCGTGCACCGGCGTGCCACTCTAGCCCCGCCTGCCGCCCAGATACCGAGGGCGGGGCGCACTCTTCGACTTGGGCTATTATTTGCCACCGGGAGGGCGGCGGCGGCGGTAGGGTCGGCGGCGAGCTCCCGGTTGCAAATACTCGCCTCACAGTCCAAGATGGCGGCTCGCGCCCCCATCCGTGCACCAGTGTGCCACTCTAGTC